CGCCCCCAGTGGCGCTGGCCGCCCCCTGCTCGAGCCCGGCCCCGGGGACTCCAGGAGGCCGAGGGCCCAGGGGGTGGTGGGGGACCGGGGTCCGGAGGGTGGGGCGCTCAGGTGAGGGCAGCTCCGGGCCGACGCCGCCACCACACAAAGGACCAGGGGCTCCCGCCGCCATATTGAAAACTTTGCTCCTCGCACGACAACTCGCAAGTCCCCCACCCCCACCCATCACACACCCCCGCACCCCGAGGAGGAGGCGAGCACCGAGCCGCCAGGGCCGTGCGGGGAGGCCCCCCGGAGCCCTGCCTCCGCGCCCGCGCCTCGGGCCGGGCTCGGCGCGACTCCCCGGCGACCACCCCGGCGGCTGCCACCACTCCGGCTCGCACCCGCTGCCCTGGCCGTGTCGCGCACCAGTTCTCCCCCTCCCCACCACCCCACTCCCCGAGAGCCGCACCGGGTGACCCGGTCCCCGGGGCCGCCAGGGCCGGGGACCCGCTGTGCTCACAGCCCGCATCCATCCCACCCGGATGAGAGCCGCCCCCCCAACCCAACACAACAACACACACCCCGCGCCTCCCTCCCCGCCGCCGCCGCCAACTCCCACCCACTGAGGAACCCCAAACTTGACCGGGCCCGCCGGACGACCGCTCCCCACCCCCGCGCCTCGGGCCTCCCCGGCCGCGCGTCCTCTCGCTCCCTCCCTCCCTCCCCCCAGCCGCGAGCAAGGATCCGGGGTGCTGGGCTGACTCACCGGCGGCGGCCGCACCTTACAGATCCCGGTCTGTTCGGCTATGGGCCGGATCTTGTGGATGAACGCGAAGGGGTCCGCGAACTCTTCCCAGCTGGGCTCGAAGACCGGACACTCCGGGGGAGGCAGGAACTCGCCCAGCGGGCCCGGGCCCCCGAGGGGCAGCGCCGGGCGCGGGCCTGGGGACAGCACGGTGGCCGGCTCCATCACCGCGACGCGGGCAGGGGCGAGCACAGGGCAGGCTCGGCGACCGCGGCAGCAAGCTCCGCTCGGTCCGGAACCTGGGCAGACGCGCAGCAGCTCCGGCGACAAGTCAGACTTCTACTAGCAACGGCAGCACCTAGGGCTTTTTCAGCCTTCCTCCGACGACGTCTTGCCGCTACCCCACGCCGTGCGCCTCCGCCGCCACGGCGAGGAAAAAAGTCCCTACTGCCACCCGGAGCCGGGTCCCACCCCGCCCCCTAACTGGGAGGGGCTGGGGCCTTCCGCCTGGGGTGGGTTTTATCCTTTATGGTTCAGTTGACCACTGAAGTTTTCAGAATTCTTGCTCTCAAGAAGTTAACAGTCTAGTAGAGAGATCGGATCTATAATCGATCGTTCAATCACGTCATACACTTTGCCACCATGGATTTACATAGTTAAACCCGAGAGGCAGAGTACTGGAACTGACTCTCCAGGTAGAGAAAACAGCTTGAACACAAGAGCAAGGACGGACGCAGGCAATATTAATGCGGACAGTAAAAACACCCTGAGCATACGCTTATCCTAGACTTTGTGCTAAGCGCTTTTGCGCGAGTGTTTAGTCTGTGAGGTAGTTTAATCGTATGACCAAATCCAACAGTTCAGACTATTTTTTGGAAAGTAGGGGTGTTGTACAGAAGTCGTCTACAGCCTTATGACAAGATTGGACTTGAGCAAAAGAATCTTGAAATAAAGCTGGGCGGTGGTGGCGCACGCCTTTAATCCCAGCACCCGGGAGGCAGAGGCATGCAAATCTCTGTGAGTTCCAGGCCAGCCTGGGTTACAGAGTGAGATCCAGGAAAAACACAAAGCAAAACAGAGAAACTCTGACTCGAAAAACAAAACAAACAAAAATTATTGAAATAATCCAATCAAGGAATAATGGGGTCTAAATAAAATCAGCAGTGCTATTGATTGATAAGAAAGGATGAGCCGGGTGGGGATGGTGCACGCCTTTAATCCCAGGATTGGGGAGGCAGAGGCAGGTGGATCTCTGTAAATTCAAGGTCAGTCTGGTCTGCAGAGCTAGTTCCAGGCCAGCCAGGGCTGTTATACAACGAAACCCTGTCTCGAAAGTGGGGGTGGGGATCGGGGGAGAAAAGAAAGGAAGGAAGGAAGGAAGGAAGGAAGGAAGGAGGGAGGGAGGGAAGGAAGGAAGAAAAGAATGAAAATATAGGAAATAAAACTTAGACTAGGAAGGGATCACAGAATACCATACATACCAAGGGTAAGGGTCTGGCATAGATACTGGCCAATTGGCATTACTAATCATCCAGATTAGGCCATGCACAAGCCATTCTAGGGGAGATGTATTAACACCTGAACAGGTTGAACTTGAGCTGTGTCTGGCACATACGTACCGCAGATTTCCCACAAGCTATAAAGTATAGCTAATTCTGAAGGAAAGAGACCGCCAGTACTGGAGGTATGATCCCAGTGATTCAGAGTACAAAGTGGAAGTTCTGAGAGGTTAAGTAACTATGAAAAGGTGGGGGATGGCCCAGAAAAACTGAAAAGATGATCATAAGTAGAACTTGAACACTGGAACTATTTCTTTTACCCAGAAAGCAGCCCAACTCATAGAAGGATTGTTTGCCACAGCCTCCGTTAAGGAGATCCACAGCCCTCCCTTCAGAACAATCTGGAGGAAGGATAGCTCTGTTAGCCTCAGGGTTTAGTTTTTAGTAGGATTCATGTAGCTCAGGCTGGCCTGAAACTCTCAATGGAGCAGAGGATGACTTTGATCTCCTGATCCTCCTGCCTCTGCCTCTTAGGTGCTGGGATTACAGATGTATCCCGTCACTCAGACTATGCTTCCTCAGTTTGAAAAAGGAAAGCTAGATGTGGTAGCACACACCTTTAATCCCAGCACTCGGGAGGCTAAAGCCAACCTGGTCTACACTGAGTTCCAAGCCAGCCAGATCGACATAATGAGATCCTGTATCAAAAAACAAGGAATGTGGAGAGATGGCTCAGCTGATTAAGAGCATTTTGCTCCTGCCTAAGAGGACATAAATTCAGTTTCCAGATCCAGTGTCCATCAGCTCACAATTGCCTCCTCACTCCAGCTTCAGGGGATCTGATGCCTTCTTCTGGCCTCTACAGGCAACACACACACACACACACACCACAACACAATTTAAAGATTTTTTAAAATATAAAACATTTTAAAATGAAGAGGGGAAAAAATCCTCATTCTTCAATAAACTTCCCAGAAGTACATAGCCTCCAAAAAAGTTCAGCGATTCCTGGAGAAGGCAACCTTTCCTTAGCTCCCTAGGGCTTTGGAGAGTGAATAGGCCTTGTCTTGTTCCCTCATTCTTCAAATGAGATGGAACTAAAAGAGACAGGTAGCAACCTACTCAAGGAAAAAAAATACATCATTGTAAGATTAGATGAAAAAATCCAGGTGGTGGCGGCACACGCCTATGATCCCAGCACTCGGGAGGCAGAGGCAGGAGGATCTCTGTGAGTTCGAGGCCAGCCTTGCCTACAAAGTGAGTTTTTAAAAAAATAAGGTGATACAGTAGGTTTTATGTGAAAACCTAGGTATTAGAGATATAGAATTTGCCACACACACACACATACTATATATATATATAATGGGGGGTGTTGAGTCAAGGTTTCACTATATTTTTGATTAGCCTAAAACTTGCTTACATAAACCAGGCTGGCTTCAAGTTCACAGGTGCTAGGATTAAAGGTGTGTGTCACCTCACCCAGCTTGCCATATTTTTCAACCTTACTGATTTCATGATAATGTATTGAGAAGAGGGAAAAAATTAAGACAGGACTGCATACTTGTAGCCAAAGCTGGCCTGGAATTCAACAATGTAGCCCAGGTTGACCTCATTCCCAAGGGCTGGGCTATCAGATGACCTATCATGGTGACTGAGGGGAATCTTTTATTGTCGCTCTTGACTCTGAGTACTGTATGTGTGCATGCATTAGAAGATCATCCTGGAGTTGATTTCCTGTCAAGTCCTCTGCCTTGGGAGAACGCAGTACCCTTGGTGTTGGCATCCTACATACAAACCAGGCAGGTTATAACTTTGACACTTGTAGACACACATAAATTATGGATGTGTAACTGCAGGGTACGAGTTTTTTTTTGGGGGGGGGATCTCAGTTGTCATCTATGGGTTAGGCATCTCTCTCCCTCCCAACTTTCGGGGTCTACTAGTCCTGCTTCCTCCATTTCCGGTTGTGAACCTAAATGATGAGATATACTGACTGCTCAGACCAAGCAGCAGCTGTTTGGCTGCGCACCAACCAAACAGACGCTGAGGGAGCGGGCGGTTGCCAGGCTAGTCAAGAGAACCTAGGGACTGAGAGGGCTCTCCACTAAGGTAACAGCTCCCCCGCCCCTCGGAAGACGCTTCCCCTTGCCCTTTATGATGTGTGTTTACATGGGCGGAGGGATCCCTCGCCAGCTGACAGCCACACCGCGGCCGGCTCTTCTTTTTTTAAAGAGCCTAGCCACAGGCGCTGATTGGCCGCGGCCCGAGCCGCATCAGCCTCCGGGGGCGGGGCCCGGTCCGCATTGTCTGGTGTGGGGCCGGCTGGACGCCTCGGAGGCCGGACCTGGGTAACCCCGGCCCGGAGGTACCGGCGATCGCCTTCCCAGCCGGCTGCGAGCGGAGGCTGGGCGGAGCCACAGCGCCAGGTTCCCGGGGGAAAGCGGGGCTGCAGCCCCGGCGGCCCGAGCAGAAGCGAGCCCGCTCCGAGTGCCACGTCTCCAGGAACCCCCCTCCTTACTCTTGGACGACACTCCGCCTCCGCCCCGGACTCCGTCCCCCAAACCACCCCATGAGTGCTGGAGAGCCTTTAGATACATCTTTAGGGATCCGGCCCACTCAGCCGTCAGCTCCCACGCTCCCCCAGCCGGTGGAGTCCCACCCCGGGCCTGCACCCCAAGAGCGCAGCCTGTGCCCTAAAATCCGCCTGCGGGTCTAAGAGGCGCTGGCCTAGCTCCTTCCGGTCGCCCGGCAGGAGAGACCGGGCTTCTAGGTTCCAAACGCGAGGAGAGACTTTGCTCTGGCTCTCCGTCGCCCCCACCCCCCACCCCTTGCTCGGGGTCTGAGCCTCGGATGAGGGGGGCAGGTCTGGCTCCCCAGCTGCCCGGGAGGGGGCGGCGGCCGGCGCAGCACGTAGCGCACGTGTCGGTCCCGCTCCCCACCCCCTCCGCGCCGCTGTCGCCTCGACGGGGCTCCGGGGTTGTCCGTGCCCCTCCCTTCCGCCCCGGCCTCACTTCGGGTCTCCCACCACCCGTCCCCCTCTCCGGCTTTCCCAAATATCCGCGATGCACCATCTCAGTTTCTCATCTCCAGTCTAGTGCCAACATCTGAACTCAGCACCTTTCATGCTCTGAAAAATTTGGTGTCAGGTGTCCCTCGGGGGCAACCATGGGATGTCCCCCAGCTTTACTTCTTTTGAGTCTTTACACGACGTCCTGTTGCTAGTCTTTATTGCTGGGTTTTAGCTAGACCACAGTTTCCCACCGGGGTCCCTGCTACCTCCTCAGCACGTGCCCCACCCCTTGGTAAGCCGCTGGAGGGAAGGAGTCAAGTCAGTACCAGGCATGTGGGAGTTGCTCCACAAATATTTGTTGAAAGGGAGGGGAAATGGCCTTGAGTTTATGCGGCTCCAATTGGCTGAGGATGAAGCTTTGGACTGGACGTGGAGAAGAATCTGCTTGTGCCCAGGAAGGAGCCTCACAATAACTCAGTGGTGGAGTGTTGAGACAGCCCACGCAGTGGGTGAATACAGTGAGATAAAGCGTCCTCCCCGTTCCCTGCCCTGCTTAATTCCACTGGAATCAGTATCCCTGCTTCTCAGCTGCAAGGTCTTCTCTGTGGGATAGCTTTGGTCCCCACCCCCAGCCGACACCGTGATAAAGGGTCTCATTATGGGCGCTGGCCTTGGAAAGCTGGTCTAGTCTTGGGGAGGCATCTTTTAACTAAATACCACTGCCTCATCCCTGCACATTTCCCATGCTCACACAAAAGGGCGGGGAAGAGGGGACGATCTCTCCTAGACAAGCCCTGCACCAGAGCTACATACAGTCCCAAACCCTCGCCACTCCTGGAATCCGCTGAGTCAGCTCAACTACGATCCAAAAACCTTACACCTTCGCTTTACCTGGGTGTGAGGCCAAAGAACTAGACCCTTGCATGGATCAGACACTCTCAAGTGGAACGTTCCCACGATGGTGCTAGCCCTACCCACAGGGGCTGGGAGGGGCAGAGCAACCCACACCAAGGCTTGGGCTTCAGGGCGTTTCTTCCCATTCCGGTTAGGCCACTTTAGAGGCCTGAGACTCTCAAGGAACAATATTTAATATTTTTATGTTTTGTTTTGTTTTTGAGACAGGGTCTTGCTGTGCAGCTCAGAATGGCTTCCGATTCACAATATAGCCCAGACCGACCACAAATTCACGGCAATCCTGCTGCTTCAGTCTCCCATAGTTCTGGGCCAAAGGACAATCTTGTGCTCCTGGAAGTTTGGGAGGAAAATCACATTCCTTGTTCAGCCACCAGCAACTCTGAACTCAGGTCTCGGGCTGCGAGACTCCTCTCAACATGCCCTGTTCCTCAGATAGCTCAAATATTTGGAATTCTCTGTATCTGGGATGTAACATGCTGGAACTTTCTAGAGCACCACCGCATCTACCATATCTGCTTGAAATTCCCGATCCAACTAAGTCACATGATGTGTCTAGCAAAGCACAACTCCCTACATGTAAAAGGAGGGGTTTTTTTTTTCACATTTTTCTTCCCTGGCATGAACGATTGATGTGTAAAAAAAAAACGAAACAAACAGCAACAACAACAAAAAATCCTGAAATATTTCTCTAACACAAATCAGGGCATGAAGTAGGTGCATTGCTCTCACAATTTTTCAGATCGAGGAACTGAGACTCGGATTAATCAGCCAACATCACACTGATACTAATTGCAGAGCACGGATAAGAATGGCCATCTCAGGCCTGCCTTTGATCTTCCCGAACACCAGGCAGACTTCTGAGAGCTACAGGCAGACACAGGGGCCTCACCTCACACCTCTCACCAGCCCAGCCTTTACAGGGTTGTGTCTGGGTCACACAACTTCCTTCTGGGCTGCAATGACTTTTTGAGTGACAGTACCCCAAGTTTCAGAATCAACTCGTGAAGTTGATTTTGGTGACCCATATTGAACTATATTTGAGAATAGACGGCTCCAAGGCTACTTTTTTTCCCCTACCATTTTGGCAACTTTCAAAAAGATGTACAAGGAGGAATAGCGGATGCAGGTGCTGGAAGGCCACCAACCACAAGCCAAGGATGAGGGGAAAGTCTGACTAGCATCTTCGTCTTGGACTTATAGCTTCCAGAACTGTGAATAAATGGGTACCACTTAAACCAACTCCTTGAATTGGTCTCCCTCTTGATATGTAGATATAGCCATGTGATATAAGTGTGTGTGTATGATATGGATACGTAGCCCCATATCCTGCTGTTTTTCTTTCTCTAGAGAGCCTTTAGGAATTACCAGTAGCAAGTCTTCCTCAAATACCTAACGAATCCCTTATTTCAGCCACCGCCCCTCCCTCCCCGCATCTCCTGTCTGTCCCCAAGAACAGTGTATACGTGATACAGAAAGCCAATAACTACGCCTTGGCTCTTCTGCTTGGGTTTTGCTGTTTATTATTCACTGTCTGCATTTTTCTACTCATTCTTCTACCTTTGTCCACAGCCCATCAAACCTAAACCAATGCCAAGCAAAGACCAGGATGTGTATGGAAGTTCTTCCCGTTTTTTGTTTTGCTTGGGGTTTTTGAGACAAGCTGTCATGGTACCCTAGGCTGGCCTTGAACTCAATGTGTACTCAAGGATAATCTTGAATTCTTGGTTCTCTTACCTCCTCCTCCCAAGAGCTGGGATTACATTGTGTGCCACCACACTGGTGTTTGTTTGTTTGTTTGTTTTGCTTGGCCTCCCCTTTAATCCAGCGACTTACTATATAGCCCTGGCTGGCCTGGAATTCCCAATAAAATTGGCCTTGAACTCAAAGAGATCTACCTACCTCTCTACTGGGAATTAAATTTAGCACAACTAACTTGAAATTTTTTGAGCTCTCTTTTTTTTCTAAGTATTCATCTCAATTCACATTTTCAAACAGTGTCATCAGATGTGTGGAACAACAGTCCTCTCCACCCTCCAGATTAAGTCAGTGTGCTGATGAGCTCCCGTGGTCCCTAGAGAAACAATGATTGTCATGGGAGCTTGGGCTGCCGCTCCTGGAAGAAGTACAGAAGGAAGGGCTTGTTCCTCACCATCCCTAACCTGCAGATACGGTTCCTCCTCCCAGGAGTAGAGGAGAATTCTGACTTCAGCCAAATTCAAGTCCTTACCCGGAACATACAGTACCAACAAGCACTGTGTGGCAGATGAGAGCATTAGAGCCCCCGGGACGGCAGATCAGAAGGATGTGGGCTGCCAAACGTGTAAGGAGACTAAAGCCAGCCTGAGCCAGAGTCAAGCATGGGCCACTTGAGATCCTGTCTTAAATAACAAAAAAACCCTTAGGCCCTGGAGAGTAGTCATCAACCATCTTCAGTTGTTAGGGGAGGAGCCGGGCTTCACAAAGACTGAGTCATTTGGCCAAGGTCACATGAACAAGTTGAACAGAAGCAGATTCTAACCTAGTTTGTCGGAGCCCATAATCGGTGTGTTTTAACCACCCCGTACCCACAGCCATTCCATCCATGGCTTCATGACACTGTTATGTCTTTAGCATCTATCATAGCGTTCCTTGGTGAACTTTGTCAACTATCAGGATTCTCCCATAACCCATGAGCTAATAAAGACTTGTTGAACTTGGTTCTCCAGGCCAGGTACTCTGCAAAATGTTGTAGATAGAGTAATAAAACCAAGTGTCTGCCCCTCTGGAGTTTAGAATGCTAGGCTACTGGACAGTGACAGACAGCAAACACAATAACCAAGATTATTTCTGAGGGTTGGGGATTTAGCTCGGTGGTAGAGCGCTTGCCTCCAAGGCCCTGGGTTCGGTCCTCAGCTGGGGGGGGGGGGCATTGTTTCTGGTGGCAACAAAGGCTCAGGAAAATACAAGAGATCATCCAATAGGGAAGGGAAGGATGGAAGTGGTGCCACAGGCCTCACGAGCCAGTAACTCAAGGCAGCAGAGGGGACATCTGAGCTTGGAGTTCAGGGACAGGGAAGGGGCAGCTATGGGGTAAATCTACAGAGAAGTGTTCTAAAAGAACAACACGCAAAAGGGCTGGAGATGGCTCAGTGGTTAAGAGCACTGGCTGCTCTTCCAAAGGTCCCACCCAGGTTCAATTCCCAGCAACCACATGGTGGCTCACAACTGTCTACAAACTCCAGTTCCAGGGGATATGGTTGCCTCATACAGACACACAGACAGGCATAACACCAGTGCAGATGAAATAAAAAATAAACATTAAAAAAAGAACAACATGTGCAAAGACCTTGACTCGAAAGTCCGTATGAGTCAGGACATACTCCAAGAAAACAAGCCTCTAAGTCTAGAAAGAAACTTCACAAGTAGGCCATAGAAGTCAGGACTTTTTTTTTTTTTTCCTCCTGTTTGTTTGTTTTTTGAGACAGAGTTTCTCTGTGTAGCCTTGGCTGTCCTGGAACTCACTCTGTAGACTAGGTTGGCCTCGAACTCACAAACATCCACCTGCCTCTGCCTCTCCAGTGCTGGGATCAAAGGTGTGCGCCAATACCCGTTGAGTTTCCAACTTATTTGCAATGAGAGGCCACCAGAAGAGGTATCTCATCTGATTTAGAATTTTTCTTTTTCTTTTCATTTTATTTATTTGTTTTGATTTTTTTTGAGACAGGGTTTCTCTGTGTATCCCTGGCTGTCCTGGAACTCACTCTGTAGACCAGGCTGGCCTCGAACTCATAGAGATCCACATGCTTCTGCCTCCCTGGTGCTGGGGTTAAAGGCGTGCATGGTTAAAAGCCCTCTGCTGCTGCTGCTGCTGCTGCTGCTGCTGCTGCTTTTCTCCTCCTCCTCCTCTTCCTCCCCCTCCTCCTCCTCTTCTTTTTTTAGATAGGATCTTTTTATGTAGCCCATGTTGGCTTCTTTTTTTTCTTTTTTTAAAGATTTATTTATTTATTATGTACACAGAAGAGGGTGCCAGATCTCACTACAGATGGTTGTGAGCCACCATGTGGGTGCTGGGAATTGAACTCAGGACCTATGGAGGAGCAGTCAGTGCTCTTAACCTCTGAGCCATCTCTCCAGCCCCCATGTTGGCTTCTAACTCACAATACTCTCACGTCCTTAGACTCTTGAGTGCTGGGAGTCTGGGAGTACAGACACATGCCACCTTACTAAATTTTATTTATAATTTTAATTTTTTTAAAGTGTCTAATGTGTATAAGTTTTTGCTTACATATGTATGTATGTATGTATGTATGTATGTATGTATGTATGTATATATGTATGCCACATGCATGTCTGATGAAACTGGAGGTCAGAGGAGAACATCCAGATCCTCTGGAACTTGTGAGCCACCACATGATTCTGTGACTAAAGCCTGGGTTCTCTGAAGCCCAGCAAGTTATCTTAACCATTGAGTCATCTCTCCAGTTCCTTGATTTCTGAATTTTGGTTTGGGGGTTGTTGTTTTGTTTGTTTGCACTTTGTTTTGAGATGAGGTCTCACTGTGTACCCCTGATTATCCTGGAATTCAACCTGTTGATCAGGCTGGCTTCAAACTGATAGAAACCCACCTCCCTCTGCCTCCCAAGTACTGGGATTAAAGGCTCATGCCGCCACCACCCAGTTTGATTTGTAATTTTAAAAGGTGTCTCTGACAGGTGAGTAGAGGGCAGACGTCAGGAGAACAGGGCAGAGATTTGGAACAGCACAGATTAGATAGACTCGTACTAACTGTAGTCCTAGCAGGTGTTGAAAAGGGTGCTATTCTATAAAATTCTGAGGACATAGTAACAAGATTAAACAGATTGGATATGGAGTGCTAAGAAGAGAAAAGCATGAAGGATAGCCCTGTACCCCCTGGCACCCAAGAAATTAATGGAAAAGGTGATGGTGCAATTTACTGTGATGGAGAGAACGTGAGGAAATGATAGGATAGAAGAGAGAGAAATGATTCTTATTCATCCAAGCAAAGACCTTAAATAGGTGACCTAGAGTTCAGGTGGGTGTATTTTACACATACACACACAGGTCTGCGGTTAGCCAGAGAGAATGTGGAGGAAGAGAGAAAGCTTTGAGACCATGTGTGTTGATGGCTTAGGAGAAGGATAAGCCAGGGGAGAAAGCTAAGAAGGAATGGTCAATGGGGAACTGGGTGTCAGAACGAAAGGGGTTCCAGTGGACTCAAGGCGTAGACACGTGAGAAAGAATATGAGTGCTCTAAAGTCCACACTGTCAAGGACTCACTGTATAGAATTTCAGAGACTCGGGACATAACTTGAAACTCGAGTTCAAGGGAGGGATTTTCCTTTTTGCCTTTCCTTCCACAGGAAGCTAACAGGCCTGCTTTTCCGTGATGACGAAGATCCAGTAGAGAGGGAGAAGAGATCACGCAGAAGAGAGAAGATGAATGCAGGGGTGACAAGCTCAGAATGTGAGGGGGAGGGGGGGGCAGTGAAAGGGTGAGGGGAGGGAGAGGATGCAGAGTCGCAGGAAAGCAGGATGTGTTGGGGTGGGCTTGGTGGTTCTCCACATCTGTCTGTTAAAAGATACAGACCAGCTGCTGGTTCTTAGGGCAAATAATCCGTAGGTAGGGGTTATGAAGCACACGCTCACACATCTAAGTCCTGTACCTGTGCCCCTCTGATGCTATGAGTGGGGGGCTGAGACACAATCGTAACATCACAGAGGGAGCTGAGCTCAAGGGGAAACCTCAGAGACCTGAGACCACTGTCGCTAACTCCTCTAGTCCTTGTCCTGCCCTCGCCAGAAGACTGTTGACCTGAGAGGGCTGGGCAAGGACGGAGTTTCCTGCTGCATAACAACACCACAGAAGGACAGAAAGGAGTGAGCTATGTCTATTGTGGTGAAGTCTTTTAACTGTAGTTGTTTAGCCTTTTCATTGAGTGTACTTGTCCATGCATTTATGGTCTAGAGAAGCCAGGGTCGTCTGGGTCTCTTACATAGAAGTTCATAAGGTAAGAACAATCTTTGTCTATAAAACCTTATTATTATGAGTAAGTATTTTTTATAACTATAATCACAAACTTAGGGCTGAAGGGAGGGCTCAGCACTTAAGAGTATGTGATGCTATTTGCAGAGGACCTGAGTTCAGTTCCTGGTACCCAGAGCAGGCAGCTCACAACCACCTGTAACTCCAGTTCTAGGGGGATCCATGGGCACTGCACTTACATAAGCACAGACATAAAAACACATAATTTTGTTGTTGTTGTATTTTTTCTTTTTTTTTCTTTTCTTTTCTTTTTTTTTTTTTTTTTTTTTGGTTTTTCAAGACAGGGTTTCTCTGTGTAGTTTTGGAGCCTGTCCTGGATCTCACTTTGTAGACCAGGCTGGACTTGAACTCACAGAGATCCACCTGGCTCTGCCTTCCGAGTGCTAGGATTAAAGGCGTGAGCCACCACTGCCAGGCTAACACACATAATTTTTAAAAAAAAGCAATTTGGGCTGGAGAGATAGCTCAGTCCTTAAAGGCTAGGCTCACAACCCCCTCCAAAGAATTATTATTATAAATTTTAAAAAAAAAGTAAACCCCACTAAGATGATGCCATACTATGGCCTCTGGATCATAGAAATCACTTGACTACAGTTTCTTTTTTGTGTCCTGAGTATACAAGACAATAATTGAACTCATGTAACAAGGCATCTGAAAGCCTTTCTTCTAATAGTTTAGTGATCAGAAAAAATGCTCCAGAAGGCTGGATGCAGGCACTTTTGAGCCTGAGCTGACCTGTGTTCCAATAAACTCACTTAACTTACTTTGTGTTAACAGATCCTGTCCTAGTTAAGGCCTACAAGTTCAAGTATTTTTTAAAAAAATCTTTAGGCCGGGTGGTGGTGGTGGTGGTGGTGGTGGTGGTGGTGGTGGTGGTGGTGGTGCACGCCTTTAATCCCAGCACTTGGGAGGCAGAGACAGGCTGATCTCTGTGAGTTCGAGGCCAGCCTGGGCTACAGAGCGAGATCCAGGACAGCACCAAAACTACAGAGAAATCCTGTCTCAAAAAAAAAAAAAAATCTTTGATCTTAAAAGACAAGAAAGGTATCAACTTGACATAGACTTTGGCGTCACATCAATTTCAGCTATTTATTTATTTCGGTTTTTTGAGACAGGGTTTCATATAGCCCAGACTACCTTTAAACTCACTACATAACCAAGGACACATTGAACTCCTGACCATTCTGTCTCCACCTTTCAAGTGCTAGGATTACAGGCATGTGCCACGGTGCCTGCCGACTTCAACCATTTAAAAGCTTGACTTTCTGTTGTTGTTTGGTTGGTTTGTTTTTGAGACAGGGTTTATCTATGTAGCCCTGGCTGTCCTGGAACTCACTCTATAGACCAAGCTGGCCTTGAACTCAGAGATCTGCCTGCCTCTGCCTCGGCCAGTGCTGGGATTAAAGGCATGTGCCCCCACCATCAACACCACCACTGTCACCCCCACCCCACCCTTGGCTAATAGTTTGACTTCTTTTTTTTCCAGAGCTGAGGACCGAACCCAGGGCCTTGTGCTTGCTAGGCAAGCGCTCTACCACTGAGCTAAATCCCCAACCCCAACTTTTTTTTTTAATGTGTACAATACAATGGCCATCTGTTTCCTAGCACAGACTAGCCATGTTAATAATGTTCCAGCTAGCCCTTATCATTCTGAGCAGGGGAAACTTTGGGAAAGCTGAAACTCCAAACAAATGTATGAAGAAAGGCAGCAAATGTCATCACAGGACAGGTGACCTTCTTTCTCTAGGTGGGGAAAAAGGTTCTGTGTGTTCTGTCAGGTTCCTAGATCAGAGCATATTTGTGAAAGTTAACAATAGTCTTACAGTCAGGAAGGATAGAGTTCTCACTGTACATACTGACTTCCTGCTGTAGGAACCATAGCCCAGTGCAGACACAATGCGGTGTTCCACCAGGCGGGGCTTCAAAATCTCTGTGGCCATGGTGTTCCTGTGGGTCTTCATCACCCTGAGAATACCTGAGGAAATGGAAGATATCCAAAAGGTGGTGACTATTATTTGGGAAACTGGGCGTGCGCGGTGGGAAGGGTAAGGACAGGCAGGTTGCCCAAGAAGTCTGGCCTTTCCTTCTAATCCTTTCCACCAGGAGCTGGAGGCTCTGAGTGGAGCTGGTGTGGATCTACCCATGATTCCATAAACTAGCTACATTTATTTGTCATGTTTCTCAAGGTAAGGGAGAAAACAAATACTGCCGGAGCCCATGAGTCTTTTGGCCCATGGGCAGGCACTATGCTGGACACATTCTAGAAGAGTGACTCACCTCACTTCTTTCCCTAAAACGGCATATGGGAGGCTGGGAGAAATAAAGGCCATCATTTTATGAAAGTGTGTGTGTGTGTGTGTGTGTGTGTGTGTGTGTGTGTGTGTGTATACACATATATATGTGCATATATATATATTGCCTTTGTCAATGGTCCAGGTGATCAGACTTGGCAGTAAGAAGAACCCCAAATCCTTAGAAGACTGGCAGGCCATTACCTACAAATATTTGGAAAAAATCCACCAGAGAAAAAAGAGTGAGTACCAGGGAGAGGGAGGTAGAGTGTCAGGGGAGGGGAGGCTCATATGAGGGAAGATGGCCAGGAAAAAAAAGCAGCAGCAGGAGGAAAGGCAGGACTGTCCAGAAACACTTGAATCTGGCTGACAACTCCCTCCCCAATCCCAGGACAATGACGAGTCAGGGGTATGAAGAAGAAAGAACAGATAAAGGTAGTTGTTTTAATAGGTGGAATCAGGGGTGAAGAGATAGTTCAGTGGTTAGGAGTACTTGCTGTTCTTCCAGAGGACCTGAGTTTAGTTTCCAGTAACACACACACACACACACACACACACACACACACACACACAAACACACCCCTGTAGGTGGACTTTTCTATGTGTCACCTGAGTCAGCTCTGTCCTGCCAGTCGGCTCCTGAATAAAATAACCACACAGAGACTTAATATTAATTATAAATGATCGGCCAATAGCTTAGGCTTGTTACTGACTAGCTCTTATGAATTAAATTAGCCCACTTTTTTTTCAGAGCTGAGGATCAAACCCAGGGCCTTGTGTTTGCTAGGCAAGCACTCTACCACTGAGCTAAATCCCCATCCCTAGCCCACATTTCTTATCTACACTCCACCATGTGGTGGTATCTTTTTTCAGCACAGCATGTTCATCTTGCTTCTCTGTGTCTCCTGGCGACCCCACCCTCTTCTACCCTATGCTGTCTTTTTGTCTGCAAGTCCCACCTAACCTTTTCCTGCCTAGCTATTGGCCAGTCAGCTCTTTATTAACCAATGAGTAATAAATATTCACAGTGTACAAAAAGATTGCTGTATACATATACAAAATTTTTTTTAAAAATACTTAAAATAGGTGGATACAATATGTTGACCACATATTACAAAACATTTCTGAATATTATATTATATATATACTCATCTGCAATACCAAACATGTTTACATTGGGTAAACAAGGAGCATAACTCCATTATATAACTTAATATTTCAATCTGCAATTATGATCATGCCCTAGGAATGGATGGTTATGTGGCTTTTGGTGGTGGGGAGGAGCTGGGGAATGAATGATCATGTGACTTTTCATTTATTGATTTGAAACAGAGTCTCACTATGTAGACTAGGTTCAATTCATAGAGATCCTCCTGCCTCTGCCTCTAGAGTGCTGGGATCGAAAGCATGCACCATTGGACCATGCTTTTTATTTTGTTTTTAATTAAGTGAAGACACACACACACACACACACACACACACACACACACACACATAGGCATGTGTCTCTGTCTATGGCTTTATGTACATGAGTACAAGTACCCACAGAGGCCAGAAGAGGGCAGTTGTAAGCCTACCAGGTGGGTGCTAGGAACTGAACTTAGCTCCTCTGTAAGGGCAGTAGTCACTCTTAACCACTGGGCCATATCTCCAGACCTTATGTGGCCTTTTTTGGAGGGATATGGCACCAGCCATTGTTTTTTGTTTGTTGTTTGTTTGTTTATGTGTGTATAGTACATGTATGTCTATGTGTATATATATGCGTATGGTATAGGTATAGGTATGGATCCCCAGGAGCTGGAGTTGCAGGTAGTTGGGACCTGCCTGAATTGGGTGCTAAAAGCTGAATTAACTCTGCAATATCATCAAGCTTTCTTAACTACTGAGCCATCATCTCTCCAGCCCCAACAGTTTTTGTTTTGTTTTGTTTTGTTTTGTTTTGTTTTGTTTTGTTTTGTTTTGTTTTGTTTTGTTTTTGACATCAGGAGTCTCCCTTTGCAGCCTAGGCTGGCCTCCACCTCACTATGTATCTCAAGCTGGCTTTGAACTTGAGGTCTTCCTGCCTCAGTGTCCTGGATGCTGTGATTACAGGTATGTACCACCATGCTCAGAAACTGTGCAGCTTTAAAGCATTTAAATAAGAGGGAAGAGATACGAGTTAAAATATTTAAAAGAAGAACTGTGGCTAAGATTGTCTGCATTTTTAGGTAGAGGAATTCAATGATTAAACAAAATATATAAGAATGAGAAGCTGGGTACTGGCGCTCGCCTTTAATCCCAGCACTCGGGAGGCAGAGCCAGGCGGATCTCTGTGAGTTCGAGGCCAGCCTGATCTATCTACAAGTGAGTTCCAGGAAAGGAGCAAAACTACACAGAGAAACCCTGTCTCAAAAACCAAAACAAACAAACAAACAAACAAACCCGAGAAAAAGCCAGGCAGTGGTAGTGGTGGCGCACACCTTTAATCCCAGTACTCAGAGGCAGAGGCAGCAGATCTCTGGGAGTTCAAGGCCAGCCTGATCTACAGAGCTAGTTTCAGGACTACACAGAGAAACTCTGTCTCAAAAAATAAACAAACAAAAAAACAGCAACCACAACAAAAACGAAAAGAAGATAAAAATCACTGGTGGGAAAAAAATAAAGTTAGTTTTTTGTTAGCAAGAGCAATCACTGCATCAGAGAACATCTGACACTGGAGGGTCTAAGGGTAGAGAGCCTGAGTCCTCGGGCTTTATGGGCTTTAGGACTAAACTCAGGGCTGGAAGGACTTGGCCAGCACCACAGTCAGAAGTGGCAGAACTGGGGTAAGAATCCCAGGCCCCGGGCTCCGGGGCTGCGGAAATGGAACTGTGTAGGTCGAGTGTTTTCCCCGAGTGTGTATCTTAGCAACAAAGCAAGCTGGGGAGGAAAGGGTTATGTCAGTTTATGCCTCCAGGTCACAGTCCATCACTCAAGGAAGTCAAGACAAGAACTCAGGCAGGAACCTGGAGGCAGGAGCTGATGTGGGGACCATGGAGGGGCTCTCTTTATTGGTCTGTTCAGTTTGCTTTCTTCTAGACCCCAAGACCACCTGCCCAGGGGTGGCACTGCCCACAGTGAGCTGAGCCCTCCCACATCAGTTATTAATCAAGAAAATGCCCTACAAACTTACCTGTAGGCCAAACTTATGGAGGCGTTTTCCCAATTAAGATTGCCTTTTCCAGGTGACTCTAGCCTGGTCACATTGGCTAAAGCCAACCAAGACAGTGTAGATGAAATCTGTCATTCAGTCCTTAGCACCTGAAAAGCAGGGGCTCCTGGCTTTTAGAAAAAGTCCTCCCCGCAATATTCCTTTATTAAAGGGGACCTTTGGGAAGATGAACTGAATAAAAGGATAAAAGCAGAAAGAGTTATAACAACCATAATAAAAGCTAATATTTATCAAGTTCTTCAGCCACAAGCTTCAAGTTTTAAAAAAGACTCAGGAAGGTTGGACACGCTGGCACACACGCACACTCTCAACACGTGGGAGGCTGAGGCAGGAGAACCTGCCCTAAGTTCCAGGTCATCTTAGACAACACAGTGAGTTCCAGGTCAGCGAGGTCCACACAGAAAGATCTTGTTTTTTTTTTTTGTTTGTTTTTTTTTTTTTGTTCCTTCAAGACAGTGTTTCTCTGTGTATCTCTGGCTGTCCTGGAACTCACACTGTAGACCAGGCTGGCCTCAAACTCAGAGATCCACCTGCCTCTGCCTCCTGAGTGTTGGGATCAAAGTCGTGTGCTACCACGCCTGGCTAAGACTTTGTCTTAGAAAAAATATTCACGAGGATCCACAGGGACTCAGCAGCACTTAGTATTTCCTCAACTCTTAAGAACATGCAAGTGATAGAGTTGAAACAGATTCTGAAGATGGAGTCAGGATTCTGCATGTCTAATTAATTTGCAGATAAGGCTAAAATTTCTACATACTTAGGAGTAGCAAGATAGGGCTGGACAGATGGCTCAGAGGCTAGAAGCACTGGCTGCTCATCCAGAGGTCCTGACTTCAATTCCCAGCAACCACATGGTGGCTCACAACCATCTATAGTGAGATCTGGCGCCCTCTTCTGGCCTGGAGGCAAATATGCAGACAGAATACTGTATACATAATAAATAAGTCTTTTTTTGTTGTTTGTTTTGAGACAGGGTTTCTCTGTGTAGCCCTGTCTTGGAACTCCCTCTGTAGACTGGGCTGGCCGAAAACTCACAGAGATCCACCTGCCCTTGCCTCCCCAAGTGCTGAGATTAAAGGCATGTGCCACCACTGCCTGGCTATAAATAAATCTATTAAAAAAAAAAAAAAAAAAAGAGTAGCAAGAACAGGGGCTGGAGAGATGGCTCAGTGATTAAGAGCGCTGATTGCTCTTCCAGAGGCCCCAGGTTCAATTCCCAGCACCCACATGGCAGCTCACAACTGTCTGTAACTCTAGTTCCAGGGGATCCAACACCCTCACACAGACATACATGCAGGCAAAACACCAACACACATTAAAAAAAAAAAAAAATTTTAAAAAAACTTTTTTTTTTTTTTTTTTTAAAGTAGCAGGAATGTACATGCCCTCTGCCAAGTAAAGAAAAATACCCTAAATAGCATTCTAATCTTTAAGATTTATTTATGTGCGTGTCTGCACACATGTGTGGGTGGGTGTCCATGGAGGCCAGAAGAGGGTGTTGGATCCCGGGAGCTGAAGTTACAGGCTCTTGTGAGTCTCCCAGCATGGGTGCAGGGAACCAAACTTGGGTCTTCAGCAAGAACAGAGACTGAGCCACCTCTCCAGCCCCATTCCCTAATACTCTTAGGTTTGTTTTATTATTTTATTTTATTTGAGATGGAGTCTCACTATTCTACGTAGCCTGTACTGAACTCATGATCCTCCTGCCTCAGTTTCCCGGTACGAAGGTTGGATTACAGGCAAGCCTCATCATGCCTTGCTTTCTCTAACCTTTCTGCTCACTCTCGCCACCACACATTGACAGCTGTCCCTGTTTTACCTCTTCCCAGCATGGCTGACAGTGGGGATCACCTCGGTGCCACGACAGGGCCAAGGTGGCCTCTTGGATACATTGGCCTCCCTGTACCATGCCTCCTCTGCAGCTGAGCAGAAACGGATGACCGTGCTGGTTCACCTGGCAGATTCTGATTCCACCTGGCTCAGGAAAACTGTTCTCCATATCTCCAGCCTCTACAGCTCCCAGATCTTGACAGGGCAATTGCTGCTGATCCATGCCCCATCCGATGCCTACCCCACTGTGAACAGCACCCAGGATGGGCTCTCTCAGGCGCAGGTGTACTCCAAGCAGAACATAGCTCATGCCTTCCTCATGAGCTTTGCCCCGAAGCTCTCCACTTACTTCCTGTTGATAGAGGACGATGTCTTCTGTGCCCCTAACTTTGTCAGCCACATTCACTCAAAGGTGAGCAACAGGAAGCCCCACACCTGGGTGCTCCTGGAGTTCTCTAATATGGGCTTCCTTGGCAAACTTTTCCACAGCAGGGACCTTCCACTCCTGGCCCACTTCCTCCTCCTCTTCCACAAGGAGCGACCGCTGGACTGGCTGATCCTTCACTTCCGTACCCTGCTGGCCCAGCAAAACCCAATCCTCTGCAGACCTTTCCTCTTCTACCACAGGCTAGCTCACTTCACGTTTGAGAACAAGACCTTGATAGCCCAGGAAAAAGGTCCTCATGGGCCTGATGTCCTCCCTGGCAGTGTTTTCACGGACATGAGATTCACTGGGGTTGACTCCCCGCAGGAGGCCTACACTCTGGATGAGTCCTTCTTTTGGACCTACAATGTCAGTACAGGGAACTATGTGACAGTCATTTTGAGCCGTCCAGCAAACCTGAACAGAGTGCAGGTAAGAACAGGCTCCATCGTGGATGGAAAGTACACCCTAGAAAAGGGTCAAGTGGAGCTAGGCTACCAGCCTGAAGGAACGCCCCCAAACTGTACCAGCTTTGCCCTGCTGGGCCGTCTTGTGCAAGGGCAGATGGATCGGATCATTCCGAAAAGCGCCGGGCACCAAGTGAGCTGCGTGAAGCTGGCCGCGACCGCTAATCAGGCCAGTGGTCTCATGATCAGGCATATCTACCTCTGGAGGGCAGGGGATGCCGAAGACAGAAAGGCTGATCAGAACTGATGGTGTATCAGATTATGAACAATTAAAAGCTTGACGCCATTTCCCTCTAGCCAAAATGAATGACGCTGAAGAAATCCAAGGGAACAGAAGGCAGGAAAAGAAAGCAGGGCCATTTTTTTTTTTTTTAAAGTGCCACTAAAACATTAGGAAACATTCTTCCCCTTTTCTACCCAAACAAGCCACTCAAGTAGGATTTTGTTGCTCTGACAAATGCAGCTTCTCCAAATTTGGGGAAAGGTCTTGGTCCCTTTCAGAATCCTTACATTCCTGGGATGCTTGGATCTCCCCAAGCAGCATGTGTGTGAGTGTGTGTGCGCACTTTGGTATTCACAGAGGTGGAGGGTGGGAAGCACACTAAACTGTTTTAGCACTGGAGACTGAACTTGGGGCCTTGAACATGCTAACACTCTGCCACTGAGCCATCCTTAGCCTCTGAGGAGTCCTTAGGGCGGACATAGGAAACAGTGAGGGAGATAGCGGCTGGTGGCGCACGCCTTTAATCCCAGCACTCGGGAGGCAGAGCCAGGCGGATCTCTGTGAGTTCGAGGCCAGCCTGGGCTAGAGAGTGAGTTCCAGGACAGAAGCCAAAAATTACACAGAGAAACCCTGTCTCGGGGAGAGAGAGAGAGAGAGAGAGAGAGAGAAACAGCAAGATGATTCAGTGAGGAAAAGCTCTTGCTGTACAAGTTTGGTGACCTGAGTTCTATCCTGAAAACCATGGACTCCAAAAAGTTGTTCTCTGACTCTGCACACACTATTAAGTGCATGACATCATCATCATCATAATCATAATCATAATCATAATTAGAAATCGAGATTCTTTAAAATGTTTTTCTTTCTCCCTTTTTTGTTTTGTTTTTGTTTTTTATTCAAAACAGGTTTCTCTGTGTAGCCCTGGCTGTCCTGGAACTCACTCTGTAGACCAGGCTGGCCTCAAACTCAGAGAGATCGGCCTGGCTCTACCTCCCGAGTGCTGGGATTAAAGGCATCTTTAGGGTAGCATTATTTTAATTTTTAAAAAGGTATATTTTTAAGCATGTGTGTGTGTGTGTGTTGTGTAGGTGCACATGTAAACTGCATTTCTACCAAGTGAACCCAGGAGAGGGATCTCAGTACTACTGAAGCAGGGCAGAACAAGTCAGATCCTCCCTGATTACTTAAGTTCAACCAACAGGACAAAAGCTTTAGTACCTCCCAAACCTGGGTTTTAATTCCAGCTAACTTACTAGCTGAAAGATCTCATTGGAGTTCAGTTCCCCGTCTGTAAAGGAGGAGTTCCAACTACCAGGCAAGCTTGGCGTGTGAATGAAAGGAATTCCTACACATAAGACAGACAGCAGCCAGGTGGTGGTGGCACGTGCCTTTAATCCCAGCACTCGGGAGGCAGAGGCAGTCAATCTCAGTGAGTTCGAGGCCAGCCTGGTCTACAGAGTGAGTTCCGGGACAGCTGGGACTACACACGGAAAAAAAAAGAAGAAAAGAAAAGACAGACAGTAGATACTCAGGGCATCAGCTCCCTTGTTTAGCCTTCAGTGTCCATCAAGTTCCACCCCCACCTCCTGCAGGCTCTCATTCCCCGATGAAGCATCCTCAGCCTCAACCTTCGCGGCCTGCCCCACCAACCCTGCTTGCTGAGTTTGAAGAGGGAGTCTCAGACAGGCCCGGGCATGTAGGACAATGTCTATCATTGCCAGCCCTGCCCCAGGTAAAAAAGGAGAGGCAGGTTTTTTCCAATCAAAAGGCCTCTGGAGTATGGTGTCTCTCCCTTCTGGCTGGGCCACTTCATGAAACCTGAGATTCAAGTAGCAAGATTGTCACCAAGAAGGCTAAGAGATAGGGCCGAGAAATCAGGTCCCCTGCATTTCCCACAAGCAGCATCACCTCCTTCCATCGGTGTGGGTGTAGATAGGCATCTGCCGGGAGGAGAAGGAAGGGTGGGGTGATATGGTCTAGTTGTTGGAGACCACTTGGTCTGGGATTTAAGACAGAGATAACATCAAATGTGATTAAATGTGTGAGGACTTAGAATCATAAAGCAAAAACTCTTCCCATGGGGTCATGACATCGCCCAATTTAAAGTTCTCCAGGGGGCTGGAGAGATGGCTCGGCCAACAGTTAAGAGCACTGGTTGCTCTTCCAGAGGACCCTGGTTTGATTCCCAGAATCCCCATGGTGGCTCATGGTCCATTACTCCAGTTCCAGGGGAGGCAAGGCCCTCTTTTGGCTTCTGCAGGCATTGCGCACACACGCGCACACACACACACACACACACACACACACACACACACACACACACACACGCACGGTGCACAGATGTAAATGCAGGCAAAACATTCATACACATAAAAAGAAAAGTTAGAAAGTTTTAAAGTTCTTCAGTGGCTTCCCCATCGCTTCTGGGTTACAGACACTTTTAACAACTTGCTAAGCTCACAGCTGATCGCTGTCTGTCACAGCTTTTGTAGCTCCATCTGTGAGCCCCAGCTCATCATCTGTCCTTGCCCTTTGCATGTACTGTTTTCTGGCCTGAACCTCCTCCACCTTGCTAACTACCTGTCTTCAGCTTCTTTTCTGCCACCACCGAGGGCACCAAGGCCGGGCCCTCTGTTACTCGTTCCCTTTGAAAGTTCCTCTTCTGTTCTGCAGAGGGGTGGCTGTTTAAGGTTCATAATCCCCCTCTTTAGATCCCAAACTCATGCTTTCTGAGGTTAGTGCATGTCTGTTTTCCTCATCCCTGTGTACCTGAGGCCTCACAGAGGACCTGACACACAGCAGGCATTTCATCTGCTGAAGAAAATAGAAGAAAAAAAAAAAAAGCAACTGAATCAGAGGTAGTAGGTACCGACAGCTTCTTCAGCCCCCTTAGCCCCAAATCTGAGGTAGCCACAGTCGCCAGCTGCCTCACCCCAGACATTAAGTCAGTCAAGAGCCTGCCCTGTCTACCAGAAGAATTCAAAGAGGTGTCTTCTTCCCCTATCTGTCACAGCTCAAAATATTAATTGAAGAACCAGCCTGCCTCCATCTTGGACTTAAAAGCCATCTTATATTGAAGATAAACTAGGTTCATTCCTGTTTGTGATGAAACCTCTGTTTCTCCAGGACTGGGCTATGGCCCACCTGTAACCTGAACTAGAAAATTGTTCTGTACTGCCTGTTCCAGGAAAGGCAATCATGTCCTTTCAAAGGTTGTTTATAACCATCTTGCATCCTTACATTTGTTTCAGAAGGTTCTATGACCACCTATGACTACCTTGTTATGGTCACCTAGTTAGGCTCACCTTGCAACCATGTCATTGTTTCGGGAGGAACTAACTGGTTACGCTTAGGTTCTGCTCCTGCAACCCCGCCTATTCTGCCCACCAAACCCCCCATTTAGAAACCCCCTACCCCCGAGATGTAAAAGCCTTGTCTTCCTCACATCCAGTGCTGACCTCTCGACCCACCTTAGGGGGAAGCAGCCTGTGTACACAAATAAGAAAGAAGCTTGCTTTAATTAGTTTGGCCATTGATGGTTTGGGTCTGTGGTCTTCTCCCATCTTTGGGATTAGCATTAGTCATTTGCATCTTTCCTTAGGCTCCTCTCTGAGACCCTGGAACTTAGCTCATTTACCACCTCACCTTCAGGTTTGGGCTGTTCTGTGAACTGAATATTCACCAGTCAGCAAACCTGCGGATGCCACCTTCTCTCCGTGTTAATCACAGGGCAACTCCGGGCATTCCGGGTCTCACCGTGTGCTGTCCTAGACTTCAGACCACGGACACGTTTCTGCACCAGAACCCGGGGATGTTTTACCAAACGGTTGGCATCGAGAGGTATCCAAATTACCATCTGTGTCAGACGCTGTGCTAAGCACTTCCGGCGCCTTCCTCGGTGCGGCTCGGCGCACCAGGCTCCATTTACTTTATTTTACCTTTGAGGTTTGTAATTGAGGCGTGGAGTGGGTGAAACGCACGGCATGCTCGCACCGCTATTACGCTGTGTGGACTTGGATGGGCTCCTGTCGGAGTCCCAGCCTCCTTCCTGCTCAGCAGCCACACTCAAGAGGCAAGATAGGGACTAAACCGGCTGAAGTTATCGAGACCCAGGTTCAGTCAGCAGCTGGGAACAGAGCTTCTGTCTCTGAACTTGTCCGAGAGAGAGGCACAGGCTCCCTCGTTGGAAGGAACCCTCACCTCCTTGGTAACTTTCAAGGGTCCACAGGGATGATGGTGGAGCAAGAGGCACACACAGGTCTGGGGACCGACCTCCACTGCAGAGTGCTTATTCAGCACGCACAGGAGGACCCCAGGTTCAATCCCAGCCTGGGACATTGGGGAAGGGCACAGGCAATCACAATGTATTCCAAAGAGGTGCCAGGAATTGAAGTCAGTGAGCTTGGCTTCCAGTTTGCTAACTTCAAGCTGTTAGGGAACATTTTTTTTTTAAGCTATATTTTGTTTGGGCCTGGATGGAGTGTCAGGCCGAGGAACAATTTTTAAAGTATGCACCATCTGATCATTCTGTTTCCTCAAATGTCTGGGGCCCTGGGGCTGTGGTTTTCAACTCTGGCTGCACATTTGCTTCATTCAGGAAGGTTATAAAAAAACCAACTTGGCTCTACCCTGGACCAGCAGCTCCACAGTGGCTCCAGGGTGAAGTCGGGGGACATCAGCAGTTCTTCAAAGCTGTCCTGCTGGGGACTGGACAGACAGTTTAGCAGTTAAGAGCACCTGTTGCTCTTGAGGACCTGAATCCAATGCCCTCTTCTGATCTCTGAGGGGACCAGGCAGCAGGCATGCATGTGGTCCATGAGGACAAACCCTCCCGGAGAGTCTGGTGTCGGCTGCAGAACTTATGTTTGTTTGTTTTGGTGTTTGTTTGTTTGTTTGTTTTCTTGGTGACAGGGTTTCTCTGTGTAACAGTCCTGGCTCTCCTGGAACTTGCTCTATAGACCAGGCTGGCCTCGAACTCACAGAGATCTGCCTGTCTCTGCCTCCCAAGTGCTGCAATTAAGGGCGTGTGCCACCACCACCCAGTCGGCTCCGGAACTCTTATGGAGCACA